AAAAAAAAAAAAAAAAAAAAAAAAAAAAAAAAAAAAAAAGCAGTGCCAAGTCAGGCCTATAATCCCAGCACTTAAGAGACTGAGGTAAAGCTAGAAAGATGATCAGTCGGTAAAGTGCCTACCACTCACATAAAAGCCAGTGCGGCAGCACATGCTGGAAGGTGGAGAAAGGAAGGTCCCTGGAACTCACTGGCCAGCTGCCCTAGACAAATCTATGAGCTTCAGGTTCTGTGAGAGGCCCAGTCTCAAAATAAGGTGGAGAGTGACTAAGGAAGACACAAGCTGTACACATGCACATGTACTTGTATCCATACTTGTCCATACCAACACAAACACACTCACACACACAAAACAAACAAACAAGAATCTGGATGATCTCCACACAGAGATAGGGTTTCTCTGTGTAGCTCTGGCTAACCTGGAACTCTGTAGACCAGGTCTACACCTGCCTCTGCCTCGCCAGTTGCCAGGATTATTGCCCGAATATGAATGACCTTTAATTGTAGGCCCCCTATCAAAATCCTACCCCCACCCCCCAAAAAGCCAAAGAAAATAACCCAAGTAATCCACAGTAAAAACCTCGAGAAATAATAATGTATTAAAAATTCTCAGAGCTGGAAAGATGGCTAAACAGTTAAAAGCACTGTCTGCTCTTGCATAGGTCCAGGTTTGGTTCCCAGTACCATATGGTGACTCATAATTGTAATTCCAGTTATAGGGGATCTGATGTCCTCTTCTGACCTCCTCAGGCACCAGGCAGGCACATAATATACAAAGAAACATGCAGGCAAAACATATATGCACATAATATAAAATTGACCTGTATTGATTAAACAAGGAAGAAATTTATTTATTGGTGTAATAATTAAAACTATAACAATAGTAAAAGGCACATAATACTATCATTGAACTTAAAGGGATACTTTTACATGTTTTCTATTTTTTTATTTTATTTTTTTTGGTTTTTCTGTGTAGCCCAGGCTGGTCTCAAACTCAGAGATCTGCCTGTCTCTGCCTCCCAAGTGCTGGGATTAAAGGCGTGTGCAGCAGCACCACCAGCACCACCAGCACCACCAGCACCACCAGTACCACCAGCACCACCAGCACCACCCAGCTTCATTTGTTTTCTTTCTATACTAAAGTTAGAGGTAAGAGTTTCATTTCTCATTCACAAGCACTGTGCTGTACCACCACTACTTGTAACAAGAAATGGACATGCCATTATTTACAAAGTTATTTACAAAGCTTGTTTCACTTTAATGTTCTAACACATGGTAAAGGTGCCTGGAAATCATGGGGGTTGGCAACTGCCTTCTGGCATCCTATCTATTTAAGTGACTTATTAGGGGGCACAATTTGCTGGGAAATATTTTAAAAACTACACTACCATTTATTTATTGTGTATCACAACTTGTGGGAGTCAGTCCTCTTGCCACGTGGGTTCCAGGGACCTGACTCATATCACAAGGCTTGACAACAAGTACTTTCACCTGCTGAGTCATCTTGACAGCCCTCAAATTACTTAAAATATTTTTTTAATTTACCTTAATTTTATGTGTTTTACCTGCATGTAAGTCTGTGTACCACATGCACGCATTGCCCATGGAGATGGAATGGGGCATCAGATTCCTGGGACTAGAATTACAGACAGTTGTGAGCTACCCTGTGGGTGCTAGAAATCAAATCAAGGTCTTTTGGAAGAGCAACCAGCACTCTTAACTTCTGAGCCATCTTTCCAGCCTTTTTACATTTTTTTAAAGATTTATTTATTTTATGTATGAGTGCCCTACCTGCATGTATGACTTTATGCCAGAAAGGCATCAGATCCCACTATAAATGGTTGTGAGCCACCACGTGGTTGCTGGGAATTGAACTCAGAACCTCTGGAAGAGCAGCCAGTCCTCATAGCCGCTGAGCCATCTCTCCAGCCCTTTTTAAGATCAGTATATATAACAGGAACCTATAAATAGCTAAGTACCTTTCCAATGTATTTTAATATTTTTATATTCTGAGATGGATTTCTAGTAGCTCAGGCTGTCCTTAACCTCACTAAGGAGCTAAGGATGACGTGCAATCTGAGACATACCTTGTCTCTCAGAAGACAAGGCTGGCCTACACTCATGGCAGTCTTCTTGCTTCTACTCCTAGTTACTAGGATTACAGTTTGTGCCACCATATCCAGCTTACAACTGTTATTTTGGTTTTCTTTTGTTTTTTGGTCAAAGAGACAGTGACTTGTTATTTTCTCCAGTCTGTATTTTTTAAAAAATATTTATTTATTATGTATACAGTGTTCTGCCTCCATGTATGCCTGCACGCCAGAAGACTCCAGATCTCATTATAGATGGTTGTGAGCCACCATGTGGTTTGCTGGGAATTGAACTGAGGTCCTCTGGAAGAACAGCCAGGGAGTCCTAATCTCTGAGCCATTTCTCCAGCCCCTCCAGTCTAGATTTTAACTCCTGGGTTCAAGCTGTCTTCCTGTGTCAGCTTCCCAAACGGCTAGGAGCGTAAGTGCTTGCCATTGTGTTCTCTTGACTACAGCTTTAAAATGTTTGAAGATCGACATGTTCATGAGCTGAAGTATAAAACATTAAAATTTACAGATACCTGAAAAATTGACAAAACCTAAGAACTCTTCATGTATCTAGCATCCCCACATTTTCTTACTTACTACACAAAATGGGAGAGGAGGGTGTCTGCAACGTCAGAGTGGAGCCATCTTTCCTTGTGATATTAACTCGAAAAACCAATCTGGCACGTGTGCTCTTTTTCTTGGAACCAGCAATTCCTATTCTGGCTTCAACATCAGCATTCCTCAGCTTCAAGATTCCTACGCAGTCGACCCTGAAAACAGGAAAAAAATGTACCAAGTGGCACTGTTACTGTCTAAATAGTACAACTTTCTGGGGGTGGGGGGGAAGAGTTTGAGACAGGATCTTTTTCTGTGTAGCCCTGGCTGTCCTGGAATTAGGTCTGTAGCCCAGGCTGGCCCAGAACTCAGAGATTCTCCTGCCTCTGCCTTCTGAATGCTGGGATTAAAAGTGAATGGCACCACTGCCCAGCAATAGTACATTATAAAACAAGTTTCTTCTCTTTAATGGCTGATTCTTTGCTAATTCTCTGAATATGTAATAGAGATAAGGCCCCAAACTCACAAAATATGAAAGGATAAATTTTAAATATTCAAAGGTCTTAATCTTATCAATCTTCATTTTAAAATGGAAAAAACAGTAAAAAAAATAAAATAAAATTATTCTTTAAATGTGAACATAAGTAATGGCCTACAAGAGATTTATTTTGTGCTTTTAAAAAATATAGCCAGGCAGAAGTGGCACATGCCTTTAGTCCCAACATGGCAGAGGCAGAGGCAGAGAGGCAGAGAGGCAAAGAGGCAGAGGAAGGATCTTTCTGAGTTCCAGGCCAGCCTGGTCTACAGAGTGACAGCTAGGGCTACACAGAGAAACACTGTCTTAAAAAACCAAAGAGAAAGAGAGAAGCCCTCAAAATCTTCTATTTTCTGGAACTAGAAATATTTTCTTGATTATCATAAAAGTATAACATATAATAAAATAAAAAATTATGTAGGAGCTAGAGAGATGGCTCAGAGGTTAAGTTAAGAGCACTTGCTACTCTTACAGAGGACGTGGGTTTGGTTCCCAGCAGCCATGCAGGCTGGCTCACAACTCTGTGTCATTCTAGTTCCAGGAGATACAACATCCTCTTCTCATCTCTGTGGGCAACTGCACACACATAATGCACATAAACTCACACAGGCATACACACATACCCATAATTTTAAAACTCTGCCAAGAGCCAGTCCCAGCCTGGACTACACAGTAGTTCCAGGACAGCCAGGGCTATGCAGACAGATCCTGTCTCCAAAAAGAATAAAATCAAAACTAAAACAAAAAAACCTAACCAAACAAAAAAATACAAAAATTTGCCATGCATAGTGGCACACAGCACTCAGCACTCAGGTGGCATGGCAGACTTCGGTGAGTTTGAGGCCAGCCTGGTCTGTATAGAGGGTTCCAGGCCAGTCAGTGTGACATACTACAACCTTACACACACACACACAAAAAAAAAAAAAAAAAGGAAAAAAATTTTATTAAGTACTTACGCCAGTGTCATGTTGTTGCTAGGATCAAGGCCAACTTCTATAACAGTGGTACCTTCAATGTCCACTTCTTTGCAGGGAGTCGTATTTCGTCCAGTTACCCTACAGGCTTGATAAAATCCATGTGGTTTCACTCGACCAGAATCATTGCCCACAAACACCTGCAACACTACTGGTTCATTATGACCTTCCAGCTGGAACCAGATAACATGCAGAATAAGCACTAGTTAGCATTTCAAATAAGCTCATTATAAACTAAACATTCAAAATCAAATCCTGCCTGGGCAGTGGTGGCACACACCTTTAACCCCAGCACTTGAGAGGCAGAGGCTGGCAGATCTTGAGTTCAAGGTCAGTATGATCTACAGAGTAAGTTCCAGGACAGCTAGGGCTGCACAGAGAAACGTTGTCTCAAAAATCAAAATCAAGCCAGGCGGTGGTGGCACATGCCTTTAATCCCAGCACTCGGGAGGCAGAGCCAGGCGGATATCTGTGAGTTCGAGGCCAGCCTGG